AAATTCTCTGTTACACCACAGTGTCATCCATTACACTGAATGACAGTATCACTGTATAAATAACAATTTTAGCATCTTATTTATATTACAGATAAATGAGGAATGTTTAGCATTGACAAATAAACTAAGTGTGAGCCCAGTAGCTTGGGTGGCACTCTTAAAGCCTGTTCACACTAAGAACAATAACTATAACAGTAACTATGTTAGCCTCCACACCGATGAACAATAGCACTGTTCATTCTAAGCATGTGCTGCAGATTTGTTGTCTGCCACTTTAAATGCTCGAGCTCTTTAAAGTTGAATGAATTCTAATATTGGCTGTCAATGCTTTTATCATTCATCAGCTGGAAAAAAAAACAAATCCATCAATATCCAACAATATAAAAGAGATTCCAACAATATTGTTTCTCTGTGCAGTTATCGTTAGTTGTGCTGTGGAATCTGCTATTCTTTTATACAGGTTTTTTTTTCTTCCACTTTGATTTTTTTTTTACTTTATCTTTATCCTTACTGTACTTGGTGTGAACGTGCCTTTAGCCAGGAAAAGAGAAGGGTATTGAGGATTGTAATCATTGGAATAATAGCTTGCCAATAATTCTGGGTAGAGAGACCCCCTCACTACAGTATGTCAGTAGTTCAAGAGAGATCACTGAGGGGATTCTCCACCCAAATACTCATTCTGATCATGTCATTTATGTTTGCAAACAGAAAGTATTAATAAATGTGGCTGCAAGCAGGAATTTTTGAGGCCGAGCAAGCATGGCAGGGGAGCATCAGGAAAATGCTTATTATTATATTTTTAACATCTGTTTCTGCAGTCATTTACTCAGGATTATTATTAAAACTAATTTAATGACACAGATTAATACTACAAATATTTCAGTTCTGGGAACAATGGCAATGTTATTTATCTTTTTGGCAAATCGTCATTCAGAGTAACATGGTCATTCAGTGTAACACATATTTATGTAAAAACGAAACAATATACTTATTCTGACCTGTACTTATTAAAATACAAATAAGTATATATGATCATGCTAAATTTTAATATATTTTAAATGATTTTCACTTCCTTACAAAAACGTCTTGCTGGCAAATTGGAAAACATAGTGGTTTGAAGGACATTAGCAAAGTATAAAGATTTAAAAATTAAAGTTAATTGATATTTGAGGGCTGCACTGTGATGCTTAAATAGAGCCTTTTAATATGTCATCAAATGATTCATGTTTTAAATATGCCTAACAAGATGTTTTGGTATATAAATATTGTTACATTGAATGACATTTTAGTGTGTGTCTTCTGTCAAACATGGTAAAAAATGCATGATAGTAATTTTTTTTGTTCAGAAGAATATAAACTTAAACAGGACACATTCTAATGTATGGGGAAAAAACAAAACTTAAAGCTGTATTTAGGGCTGTCGCGATTCGTCGACTTTATTCGACTATTCGATTTGTAAAAATCCTCAACTTCATTTTGCTCGCGTTGACTAACCGGCAAAATACCGGAAATGGCGCATTTCACAGACGAGAATGTATAAAACACATTATTAGTCCGTTTTCCAAGGCTGCATGATATATTAAACCCATTTAAAAATCATAATTAAGCATAATTGTGAATTCACAACCGCTACGATTTAAATAATTATATGCGATGCAGTTCTAATACAGTATATGCGCTTTAATTATTTACATGCGTGTAGGTTAAGTACATGCGTCACACAGCGGCTCCGTTCACAGTAGTTCCACGGGAACTGTTATCTTTTACATGTGTGGAGCTTCTCAAACTCCATCTCTGCATGTTGTTGTGAGTTTAGGTTTATTATAACGTTCATCTGAGAACAAAACATGCGCCCAGATTTGTAATGTAAATCATTTATAAATCTACGCAAACACAGGAGAATACATCGCGGTTTCTAAATAAAAGCTCAAACCCTCACTCTGAGTTTACACGTTTTGATGTCCACATATTCATTTAATTACAGTGTCTATAGCATTTCTGTCCTAAAGAAATAGCCAAATGTTAAAGATTAAGTGGACGTTTGAATGAAATGGTGCTTGGTCAATATTAAACAAGGATTAGATCGCACAGCAATGTGTAAAATTAGGGCTGTCGCGATTCGTCGACTTTATTCGACTATTCGATTTGTAAAAATCCTCAACTTCATTTTGCTCGCGTTGACTAACCGGCAAAATACCGGAAATGGCGCATTTCACAGACGAGAATGTATAAAACACATTATTAGTCCGTTTTCCAAGGCTGCATGATATATTAAACCCATTTAAAAATCATAATTAAGCATAATTGTGAATTCACAACCGCTACGATTTAAATAATTATATGCGATGCAGTTCTAATACAGTATATGCGCTTTAATTATTTACATGCGTGTAGGTTAAGTACATGCGTCACACAGCGGCTCCGTTCACAGTAGTTCCACGGGAACTGTTATCTTTTACATGTGTGGAGCTTCTCAAACTCCATCTCTGCATGTTGTTGTGAGTTTAGGTTTATTATAACGTTCATCTGAGAACAAAACATGCGCCCAGATTTGTAATGTAAATCATTTATAAATCTACGCAAACACAGGAGAATACATCGCGGTTTCTAAATAAAAGCTCAAACCCTCACTCTGAGTTTACACGTTTTGATGTCCACATATTCATTTAATTACAGTGTCTATAGCATTTCTGTCCTAAAGAAATAGCCAAATGTTAAAGATTAAGTGGACGTTTGAATGAAATGGTGCTTGGTCAATATTAAACAAGGATTAGATCGCACAGCAATGTGTAAAATTAATCATTAGGCCGTTGGCGCCCTCTGCAGGCCTTTGTTGTAATGCATAATGTACATTAGATCTATTGTTTATAATACATTATGTATTTTAACAATTTTGTTCAATAAAACCATATGATTTCTTGCATTTGATACTTTATTTGAACTAATTATTATTGCCTCATTGCTATTATATATGTATTTTAAGTAATTTTAAAGGCTATTGTTCACTTACATCTATTCGTAGTACCACAAACAAAATGTATTATAATTATAGGGCACTATTAAATCCATTTTATTTCCAAATTCAGCTTTTTCTATACTCCGTTTTAATGGTTAAATTAAATTTTATTAATCAAAAAGCCTGTCTAATTAATTGAGTTTTACCTTTCCCAAATTCTGTTTTCCATTATTTTCTGGATTCCATTTAGGGTTGTGATGGTTGCGTGACGGCGGTAGTGTACGTGACATCACACACTCTATAACAAGCATAATACGAAGTTTTGTATACAAGTGTAATAACAGTAATAGTTGCAAATTATTTTATTTAGACTATAAGTCTATGGTAATTCACAAATTACCTCAAATGCCATACACAGCATTTCCTTTAGACTGGCAGGTTTGAGTGCATTAAATTAATGTTCGATGTATTAATTTGTTCCCTCATTTTAGTTAAATCATGGGTTAAGGAACAAAATTAATGAAACATGGACAGTGGCCACAAATTAATAAGTCGTAGGAACTAATTAACAAGGTGTAGGAATGAATCCTTCCCCCGCAGTGTCCCGCAGCCCTGCAACCTTCGCCTAATTGTTTCAAATTTGAAAGAATTATCTGGGGAAATGACTGTTACTACATTTCTATTGCATTCCATGTTGAAGAACTTTGTGTTGTTTCTATTTTAATGTACTTTTAAAGTTTAAATCACATTAAAAGCTTAATTTGTAATTATGAGTGAATGATGATGCATTTATATACCGTCACCGTCACTCACAGCCGCTCGCACGTGTTTTGCGCATGAGCCGCACGCAGCCCAAAATTAAACTGCTTAATCGACCATCGATAGCTTTAATCGATTGCATCTCTTATCGACAATTAATCGATCATCGATTAATCGTTGACATCCCTAATATATATATTATACATATATTATATATAATTAATATTAATTATATATAGGCCTACATATATTTATATCAACACCGCGCCACCGGCAAATCTGCCACTGTCACAGCCCTAATTCTATTTTAATGGTTCCATTAAATTTTAATAATCAAAAGCATTTCCAATTAATTGATTTTATTTATTTTTTTAAAGTATTTTTTCCCGCTCAGAAATACTGCACATTTACATTTTTCTCCTAAATAAATTCTGGTAAATAATATTTCTGGTAAATACTCCTTTAAAAAGTGTTTTTTTTTATTATAATTGTATTATTAGTAGACTAGAACATGTGGATATGTTGTCATTCTTACACTATAATACTGAACTTTGATTTCAGTGATTTGGACTATGAGATGGACACTTGCTTCTTGCACTTTATGTTGCACTTCACTTTTTTAATTTTGGATTTAATTTGGTTTAATGAAATATAGTTTAATAAAATATTCTTAAGTAAAATTTTGATTTTTTTTTTGTGGGAAATTAATCGATTAATAACCGATAAATTAGTCGATAGATTCATCAAAATAAAAATAGTCATTAGTGGCAGCCCTAGCTGTATTGCACTTTTATTTTTTTTATTATTGAAACACCTTTTCGTCTTTGACCTATGTACAACAAATTTCAGCCATATCAGCCTTGGATCTGTTTATTGGAAACATGAAAAGCATTAGTCATCAATTCAAGCCCCATTGTTTCACAAGTGGTAAAACAAAGGATGAACTAATGTTATTGGAAAAAACAAAATTTTAGCCACTAAAGACTGTATCTTAATGCTCCGTTAAAACATATGTATACATCCATGAGCTCATGTATTGAATTTTGAAACTTTTTAGGATTAAAGTTTTTATTAAATACAGACAAGGATAAAGATGCTTTTGATCAGTCTGAGGTAAATATTGTAATCTAGCATATGGGAGTAATAAACCTATCCGAGCATAACTCTCACTAAAACATATCCTAGAAATTCGTCCCTCTCCACACACATGCGCTGTATCCAGCTGTGGAATTGGAGAAGTGGGGCTACAGGGCGGAGAAAATAGGGAAAGGAAACTAAATAAAGAGGAAGGAGGTCTCATTTTCCGCCGAGCACGACATGGAGAGAAAGTGACAGATTTGACTTTGTCTCCAAGCAGCTCCCCTTCGAAGGCGCAGCGGTTTGCTGTCGGGATCGCGATAAACAGAAAGCGAACAGAGCTGCTCTGTGTCCGGCTCGAGGAGAGATTCAGGGGAAGTTTTCAGAGACATTGCCGGGCGGTAGCGAGCGGAGGTCTGCTGCTGATTCGCATAGGGAGAAAGCGGGGAAAACAGACGGCTTGGTTGCGCGTATTTTAATGAAATACTGCAGCTGTCGGACACACGCCTGCAATCCCTACCTTTCCCGAGGTAGATGCGTTTGACTTTAAGATGCGGAGCGACCCCATACTGTTCGCCTCGAGGGGTGAGTGTCAGTATCTCCATGAGTGGATTCATTGTTGCATGCTTTGAGACCGTCGATATACTACGGTCACCAGACGATTCATTTATAGTATAAAATAACAGCCACGGTGTATCTGACATGCAATATGACAACAAACAGAAACACATTTCTCCTTACATCCTGGAATATCCTCGCGCTTTGCGTGTGGAACAAGTTTGTCAAAACAATTTTTCGGATGAATTGAATTTGAACTACACTGCAAGTGAGAAGAACTATTTCATATAACGAATATTTCAAAGGCGACATTACCGGCTCGGACTGGGAAGAGCTGAGTTCACCCCGTGAGTCAGATCGTCTCCGTTCCTTCTCAGCTTTTCTCTCAGGTCAGATAGAAAAGCCGTTGCAATTTGAAATGTGTAGAGGCGGTAAATTTAATGACGTTGCAAGGAAGTCATGGACTGCTTGTTTGCTGTGTTTGTTTATTTATTTATTATAAAACCTTTTTTTTTAAAAGTGCTTGTTATTATTAATGTTCAGATTTGCATTTAATTAAATCTAATTATTTTAAATTATATTTTAAAATTAGTATTAGCACACTAGAATAATTCACGTGTGAGGAAGAGCTATTCCAGTCACCCATAATAACTCTGGGGTGATACAGGTGCCCTGTTAACTTCTGTCACAGAAGTTTGCACTTTTAAAAACACAACATGCGATAGATAGGTAGGACCATCTGTGATTGGTTGGCTGGCTTGCAGCTGTGAGGTGTCGGGTATCCCGTACGTGCATCACAGCTTGCACTCTGTTGGATATGACAGAGCCCTATTGTCCACAGTGGTTTAACAGTATCTGAGTGCAGGGCATAGTATTGGCTTTGGACTTTTATATGTAAAGGGCCAAGTGTGGTTTTGCTATAGCATTGTTGGGTATTATTACAAGGCTCTCTGGAATGCTTGATTCTGATTGGTCAGTCGCTGCAGAATCATTCGGAATGATTGTTGTCCAGAATATGAAAAGGATGTCATTATAAACTCTGTCAGGTTAATATCAGACCCCTTTGCTTTGTTTCAGGGTCCTAATAATCACGTTGTTTAGGGTTTGTGTTAAAGACCATATATTACATATGTTACAGTGAGACTACAACACCATTCTTTCTTTAAGTTTTTGCACTAAAACATGTCAGCATAGTTCCAGATGTGACCATTTTCCTTGTGGATTTGAACTTTTCATCTCGTTCTAAAGCTCATGGCTGTGCTGGTGGTTAATGTGTTTATTGGCATTTATGAACATGGCACAGTGTTGTTAGACCAGTCTGACATGGTACGATTTGGCACTCGATTACTGTGTGTGATGTGGGTATTGGCCTGTTAGCCTACTTGGGTTTATTTTAGGGGGTCTCCTCTATAACAGTTTCCACGCTGATGACTTTTTAAAGGCTTACATGTGCCAGAAACCCCTAAAGCCCTTCTTTCCCTTCAAGTAGAGATGTCTGAACCAAAAAAGATGAGAGGGAAGAAGAGAACTCTTTAACTTTGCCTTCCTCCATCTTTTCCACCCACTTTGTCAACTGCTGCTTGGCTCCACTGCAGTCTTTTATCATATTTTTCCCCTCTCTCAATTGCTACCATAAACATCCTCTACTATGTAAGAGAGTTAATAGCTCTCTAATCTCTACATTGTCCCTGAGGGGAGAGATTAGTGTGCCAGAGAGGTTAGTGTATTTGTCTCTTTGGCAAAACAATTTAAGACAAATTTGGGACATTCTAAGAAAAAAGGAACTCCAAGCATTCGTGAATCGTGACTATTAAATGAAGTGTATTTTTGTGGCCATAGGTTCAATAATTGGTTCAATTATATAATTATAGTTCAATTATAATTATTCAGTATTCAATTATTATTCAATATACAGATCAGTGGGGGTGGGAACCATTGTGGTCTAAACTAATTTGTCAACATTCATAGATTTACATAGAATATTTGATTTAGTATTTTAATGACACCTTAAAAAGGAATTTATTGTTAATATTAAAAATATATTTTGTCTAATGTCTATTGTTTGGAGTCAGTAAGATTTTTTAATGTTGTGAAATAATTCTCTTATTTTCTCTTTTTTATTCTAAAAATGCAGTAAAAACAGCAATAGTTAAATATTATTATTGTTTTTAATAACTCTTCTTTTCTTAAATTTATATATTTAGTCATTTATTCCTGTGTTGGCAAAGCTGAATTTTCAGCAGTCATTACTTCAGTCTTCAGCGTTCTAATATGCTGATTTGAAGCTCAAAAACATTTATTCCTATTATCAATGTTAAATACAGTTGTGCTGCTTAATATTTTAGTGATACTTTTTCAGGATTCTTTGAATAGAAAGAACATTCATTTATTTGAAACCTGAAAGACTTTACTGTTATTTTTGGTTAATTTAATGCATCCTTCCTGAATAAAAGTATTTCTTTCTTTTTCAATCAATCAATCAATAAAAATACTGACCCCAAACTTTTAAATGGTAGTGTACAAATTCTGCAAAGAACCAGATCATATCTGGGACAAGTTAACCCTTTGCAATTTCAAGGTAGTCTCTAGGTTGCCTTTTTTATGATTTTTAATTTTCTGCTAAATTACATGTCCAGTTATCTATATGTTTTCCCCTAATAATATCTTGGATAATGCATCATCATCCTGTGCATGGTAAACTCATAAATATTCTACAATTCAGCCCAAGTTCTGAAGTCATTGGTGGAAGGCAAATATGCTGGTGAGCGTTCATATAAAAAGTGAATGCAAACACTTCTCTGCTCAGTTTCCCAGGCACCATGGAGTCTCCTCCACCCTCTAGAAGGATGATTCTTAAAGGTTTCTGTAACCAGTGGCCCCTTTCTCCCACCCCTCTGCCAAGTGTGGTTTAGGAGTTAGCACTCTGTAATTACACACACACACACACACACACACACACACACACACACACACATACTCATAAACACATAAGTATGTATTTCATGATTGTTTTCATAATTGTCACTTCAGTATTTTCCTCATATGTTAATGTGAACACATATGGATAGTGCACACACATAATCAAACACAGAGATGAATGTAATCACACAGCTGAGATATTCACTTATTGATGATCCCGGTGCATTTGATTTATGTGACAACACAGATGCTGGTATTGAAGCCCATCATTAGGGGGACAGTGAAACATCTGTTCAATATTTTCTTCTATCCTGTAGTTTTCTGCTATTTTCCAGGCATGTGTAGCATGAGTGGTGCTCTGGTGTGCCCTGGCCTGTGGCAGTGAGCCATGATGAGGCCAGACTGTGAAGCAGCCTAATTTCACAAACCACAGACTAGTAGCTGCCTTATTCCCAGCTGTCAAACGTATTGTTTTGGACACCCAGTGCCTCTCAGATCTATGAGAGATTCTATACAATATATAACTTATATTGCTATTTTGGGTTCTAATGGGATGGAGATATGAACAGATGGTGAACCACTTATAGAAAAATCAATGGGAGAAATTGTAACAGTCAATATGGTGGCTGTCAGTCTTTAACTTAAAAGAACCAATCAGCTTACTGATAGAGTTTGTTTAATCTAAATCACAGATGTGACTCATGCGAGCCAATGATATAATGTAAATGTAAATTTTTTTATATGGATCTATTAGTTTTTTTTCTTCAATAAATACATTAACATGTGAAATAATGAACAGTTCTCCAATTGCACTGTTTTGCGGTTGCAGATGTTCAAAAGCTTTTTGCTCTTTATAAGAAACAATGCAATTCATACAATTTCTGATTATTTTTCTAATTTTGATTTTCTTTTGATTTAGTTAGATCAGGTTGTAAAATGTCATGTGCGACTCCCCCCTCCCATTCTTAAGGATGGAAATAATCATTAAGATGTTAGCATAATGTTTATTTTATGATGTATTGTCACATTTTATTACTGATTTGAAATGTATTTTGAAACATAAAAACTGTTTGGAGATTTCAGGTAGATAGAATTTGCATTTTGTATGCCAATTATTTAGATAATTGTTAAATATCTGTTACCAAGATAGCTGCAGAGTAAACTGACTTTAAAGAACTTTGATATGACTCTATCCCTCCTTCCATCCATCTGTTCAGCCTCCAAGCTTTTCGTTGTGTAAAACCAGATCGGAGTATGAAGAGCTTGTGTTGTATCTCAGTCATCACCAGCTCTCCGCCTGGTTCCTGTCGGCTGACATCAAAGAGAACCAATGCACTGGATGAGAAAGGGAGGACAGATGAGCGAGAGGTTCATGTTTATGTTCTTGTCAGGTTTCTTAACCAAAACAAGAGAGGCTGTGTGTTATCTCAATTTTTCAAAAGGTTTTTTGTCAGCTGTCATACTCTGAAGTAAGAAGTGAGAAAAATGAATAGCTTCTTGGCTCAGTATGGAAATAGAAATGGAGAAGAGTGAGAGGTAAAAGAAGGCAGAAGCGTGAGTGAAGGATGTGGGATGGTGGGTACTTCACAGAAACACTTATACACTCTTAAAAATAAAGGTGCTTCAAAAGGTTCTTCAAGCGATGCCATAGAAGAACCATTTTTGGTTCCACAAATAACCATTCAGTCAAAGGTTCTTTAAAGAACCATCTCTTTCTTAGCTTTTTATAATCTGAAGAACCTTCTTTCGCCACAAAGAACCTTTTGTGAAACAGAAAGGTTCTTCAGATGTTAATGGTTCTTTATGGAACCATTTAGACAAAAAGGTTCTTCTATGGCATCGTGAAGCACCTTTATTTTTAAGAGTGTATATGTAGTAGGTCATAGATCATGTGTGAGCATATGGATTTGAACAGTTCATTAAAGAGGATTGCTTTAAGATCTGATGGAAGAGTCGGCTAGGATGACAGCGTGGAGAGAAAGGTACTCTGTAATCTACATGCACACACATTTCCTTTGGGGAATTTCAAGGATGTTGTTGATTCTCAACAGCCTGGGTGGTAGACTGTAACCACATATACATACACACCTACGCAAAATGTACACACATACTGCATCAGCAGACAAATAATACTAGTTCTGTCAGGACCACTATCGTCAAAATTATAGATACTTAGCATAAAGTTTGGTTTGGAGGTATGGTTCTGTTCTGGGCAAAAACCTCCCTGCCCATCCATGCAGCCTGTCATGAATGAGCAGGGAGAGCAGCAATAATAACCCCCCTAGGGTTAACAGAACAGAACAAGGTAGATATCATTAATGAACTTAATGATATTTAAGTGTAACACTTTATTCAAGATAAAGGAGTCTGATTAGCAAGGAATATCAGAAAGCCAAGTCCTGACTGTGGCGTAAGGAGGAGCTGGGGATGGAGGAGGGTAATTTGCTTCGGAGCAAGCTGAAAAGCTGCTGAATAATACTGAATAGAGCTTATATAGGAATGCCGCGATAGGTGTCGTATTCCTATAGGTATATGTGATAAGCTGAGAATCAGCTGATGCAAGCTTGACTCACGTGACCTGCCAGAACTAATGCTAACGCTTAATTTTTTGCATGCTGGCAGCATCACAATTGCTTTTGCAGACCACATCCCTCTATGTTATTGAATTTGGGTCGGAATAGTAGAATAATGTGATTTTTGTCCAGGAGAGACTATGAATGTTGTTTATTCTGAAAGTTCACTATAGGTCAACTTGTCAAACTGGTCCTAGACAACCACCAAACCGAATGCCATTCATTATTTCCCTCTGTCAACACTGAATTAAAATCAGCTTTGCTTGTTGAAACACTCTCTGGTGTGGCATCAACCTTTTTATGGTTGTTTTGGCAGGTATTTGTAAAACAAGACTAAAGTTCTCTGTAAAATCTAATTTTGCTGACTTTGAGACCTTTGTTTTTTTGGTTGGGATGTGTTAATATGCCCTAATTTGTCATTCCTCAGCTGGAGGTGTGTCACTGTTTTAAAGATGGGCTCTTTGGATGCATTGCTTGCTATCTTTCATCATTTAGTCTTGTTTACACTAGGGTTAGTCAATTGAGATTATGTGAATGAAGAAGAATCAGAGTCAGAAAATTGTGATCATGGGTGGTTGTGATTGTTTAAAGTTTTCCCCTTATCATTTCTCTCTCCCCTGACTTTGCCCCCAAGCATAGTTTGAAGGTGGTCCTCATTTTTGTGTGGAACTTGGTGCTCTTTAATGCAGCGATTTGTTTGCATGGTCAGTTTTTAAAGTGTATTTCCTTTCATGTTGTTTGGCAACCATCACTGAAAGTGCTTCATTAGTTTTATTCACTCTGACATGTGCAAGCTGTTGGACAGGGAATGGTAAAGGAACAACTGGAAACGGTATAAGCTTATTGTATTTTTCATCATAAACAGCAATATGAGATCGAAGACCCATCAAAACAGTTGAAAAAGTTCATTTATAATTTTTTTTACTGCAGTTATTTTACTCTAGTTATGCTTTTTTTTTTTACTTTTATGTATGATTTGAATACAACATTATTTTCAGGTAAAATATATGATTTCAGAATTATTAAAAGATTATTCAAACTTTAATTATAATGCTTGTTGATTACTAGACTGCTCTTGCAAAAGCCAACAAAATGTTCTACTTATCTCATGTTTTTCATTTTAATCTTTGCTTGGTAGCTTTATTCATTCATGTTTTAACTTGAGATTTTTAAATCGCTACTAAAATGGGGTGTGCAGTAGAATGCATGTGTATTTATAAAATCATATCACCTTTGCATCAAGCTAGTTGCTTTTCAGAATGGACAATTTGGACAAAACCCTGTATAAAAGTGTGCTGGTTGACTACGGACAGCATAACTGAGGAGCAATTCAAGCACATACAGGGGGAAATGTCTATTCAGTTGGACACGAGAACATGCAATTTGAATTATCTAGCAGATCAACAATAACTCCATTGATTCAAGTAGATGTCCTTATGTAAGGACATCCCTAATGTCTTCCTAAATCAATCAATGCTCAGCCAATCAGTTTAATTATGACGCAACAAACATTTTTTGTAATGAATGACTGTCTTGTGTATACCTTTAGAACAAGAACATTTAAAAAAGCTTCATATGTAAAGGACACAAGTCACTGCGTCTGCAAATTTGTTTGGTATTTATCACTGGGAACTGCATACTTGAGGGACAAATATCTGCATTCAAATGAACTGTAGCCAACCTGAAAAAGACTGGCTCATTTTCAGGTGTAAGTGTAAGTGTCTTGATGGCTGAATTCTAGACCAGTACAGTGACACACTCAATTTGCTATTTCATTGCACACTCTAATCAGTGAGCTCTATTTTCTGTTTTACGTCAAGAAACTGTCCATACAGCAGCCATCCTCCCCCCTTCAGCCCTCAGTCTTATGTAAACCTTCAGTTATGTGTTAGTATGAGCCTGAGCCCATTGTAATGCCATTTTATAGTCCTCTGATTTTCCAGGGCTGCAATTCGCATTTGATAGCCTTTGATATTCCTCAGGTGCCGAGCCAACAGATACCCATAATTCATTGCTTTTTCCAGATACCAGCCAACATCTCAGTGCTGAACAAAGCACACGGCCCATCTTTACAGTGGTAATATGAGAAAATCAACAAAGCAGAAGATTTGATGACACAAACTTATTTTTTCTTCTGAAGCTCCTGTTGTGCCTATTGAACATCTGATTGTATGTGTTTTTTTTTCAGCGATGGAGGAGTTGTTGGCAGAGTTGCGGGTCTTTCTGGAGTTGTTGGACAGAGAATATTTAACTGCTGGGGTAAGAGAGAAGAAACAGCAAATATTAAACATCCTGCACAGAGTTCTAGCCACTAGAGGTAAGCCCAAACCCCCTTTAGCTGCTCGTTTCACTTTTGACCTCAGCTAAACTATTCACAGTGCACCATATTTCTTTATCATTTTTTTCAGTGATGTGAATGTGTTTTTATGTGTGTTTTGCTCTCTCAGAGCCCTCATGTAAGACAGAGATACACACCTCTCTCCCGGCCCCTCCTCAGATGCCCCTACCAGAGATTCCTCACCCCTGGATGGTAAGATGTGTATATTATAGTAGTTACTATAAGTTTGGACTGGGCGATATAACTAAAAAAATTATATCACTGTAGTTTTCTTCTTTTAAAACCCTTGTGCGCTCCTCATTTGGGAGTCACACTCATGGTCTTCGCGGTCAAAAGTGACCGGACACCTGAAATGTAACATTTTTTTTTCTTCAGTAAAATCAATCTAATATATTTTTGTTCAATACTATTTTTTATTTTGTATTTTGAGAGAATTTTATATTAATAATTAATATTTATGCAATAATTATTATACATTTTCCCCATTGAAAATAGTACAAAAAATGTTTTCTCTAATTTTTTAAAATAATTTTTCAATCAATGCAGTATCTCTGATTCAAATAGAGACTAGGCCTTTAAAATCCATTTTTTAAGGCAGATTAGCACCTCCTGGTGAGAGCAAAGAAAGAAAAACATGTAATTTCATGGTGTAACCACTAGATGCCTGTATAGGAGTCTATAGAGAGTCTTTTGAATTCCCTAGTTGTTTTTATACATAATTGTTTACTTTTATTAGGTTGTGGATTTAAATGTATATTAAGGCATTCTCAAAGACCACTTTTTGTCAAGGTTGATATTTTTTGTTGTTTTAATGTTGATTTGAAGCGTCAGTTTTTGAATTATTATTATTTTGTTATACAAAACATTAAAATTCTATAAAAATGTAATAAAAATAAACAGGAACAGGAATGCTTTATCAGAGCTTAATCCTTCTGGGCCTGATCTGATTTTAACCTCTTATTTCTGTTTTCTGACTCATTTTGGCTATATTGTTATAGCCATACCAATTCATTTGAGTGTGTATAATTGTGTGTGTGTCTGTGAGTGTGTGTAAGTGAGTGTGTGTGAGTGGATGTGTCTGTTTTGCACTCTTGATGTTTTAGAGTGTAACCCCTTCCTTTCTGTCCACTTTTTAACTAAATTGTAGTTGAATTATTGATTTTATTTTACATAGTTGCTGTGTTACAGGCACACCAGTTCATAGGGGTGTGTGTGTGTACAAGTGTGTGTGTGTGTCTGCGCGTGTGTGAGTGGGTGTGTTGATTTTGCACTCTAGATGTTTTAGAGTTTCATCACTTCATTGCTGTGCAATTTTTTTTCTGCATCGTGGGGGATTTGTAGATTGTACACACAAAAATGTTCTGTATTTAATTTTTTTTTGCCATTTTCCATTAATTTCCTATGGTCGGTCATTTTTGACCGAAGACCACGAGTGTGACAATTTTTTTTACAAGCACTTATCTTTTTCGAATCATGCCCTTAATTTTTTTGTGTGTTTACATACAAAGTGCCATAAAAGTCACCAAGTTTTGTACCATTCTGATGAAGCTACGATTTTTAAGTATTCAAAATGTAAAATTCTTCGGTCAAAAGTGAACCGCAAAAGGGTTAATATTCAAAATGTGTCATATCATTAGTGTATTTGCTCTAAAAAAACTCAAAAGTGTGAACCATTAGGATTTTTTTTGTTAGTTATTTAATAACATTTTCCCAAGCTTGTTTTTTTTTTAAAACACCTATATAATAATACATAACAGCAATGTTTTGTTTTATAATACTATTGAAAAGTTTGGTGTCAGTAATATTTTAAAGGTCACATATTTTACACCTTTCTGGAGTTTTATTTTAAGTCTTGATGTCCTTAAGAATATATATTTGCGGTATAAGTACCAAAAACCCCCTCTTCTTTCAGGAGCTCTGCAAAGAAAAGGTTGAGTTTGGGCTGTCTAATTAATATTCATGAGCCTCTCTTCTGATTGGCCTGTTGTTTTCTGAGTGACGCACGGCCAGGCCAATCACAGGTAACTAGGGTCATGTATGCTGTAGCCTGCTGTGGATTGGTGATACTCACAAGTAAGGTCAATAGAAACACCGGTAATGATGGTCACTGCTGAGGGAAATGTCCGGCCTTACATGTTTGAGCTGAACTCAGACCGAATCGGCGACGACAGGAGACAACCAACCACCTCCTCAAACGCACTTACAACAGGAGGTTTCAGAATGGGAATTCATGTTTTTTTTTTTTCAAACACCGGATGCAGTAAATACAAACCTGACCAGCTGAGCGTTTGCAATCACGTGAACTTGAAGACACTTGTACAAATGTGGATGGGTGACATGAATGGAAATGATTCCAGATTGGCGATGTAGTATTTGGTTTCTGTATTCTGTACTGTATTTTCCTGCGCTCAAACCTGCCAATCTAAAGGATCAAATGCTGTGTATGGCGTTTGAGGTAATTTGTGAATTAGCATAGACTTATAGTCTAAATAAAACAATTTGCAACTGTTACTATTATCACACTTGTATACAACACTTTGTATTATGCTTGTTATAGAGTGTGTGACATCACGTGCACTACCACCGGTGGCAATAGACAACGGTTGACGCGGTTGTCACGGTGACCGTCACAGACCTACTGTGCAATGATGTAGTTTCCTGACATCCAGACTGAACAGCGTTTTCTCGACATGTTTCCATGTTGTTGTTGTTCAGCAATGGCATGGACGCGATGTTGTCTGGGGTTTGGCAAAAGTAGAGTGGGACGGTGGGCGGTGCTCGGGGTGGTGACTGAAGGCGGTGACTGTGTAGTTCTGACGTCACCTTTTTACGGAAGTCACAACGGTTCGTGAAAAATCACAGCTACTTAATGCAGGCTGTGTGCATTTGACTGTGGATTGACTGTTTTGAAACTTATATGGTAGTTACATAGCACCTAGACCTCATTTATCATGAAAAAAGCCAGGAAATTTCAGTTTTGACAATATTTGACCTTTAAATATTATATAAAAAACACCTTTTCTAATCTACTTTTTAAGATGTAATTTATTCCTGTGATGGCAAAGCTGAATTTCAGCAGCCATTATTCCAGTCTTCAGTGTCACATGATCCTTTAGAAAACATTCTGATATTTTAGATTTATTTTGAATAATTTGGTGCTTAAGAAACATTTATTATTATTATCAATGTTGAAATCAGTTATGCTGCTTAAAATGTTTGTGAAAACTTCGATCAATAGAAAGTAAAAAAAAAAACAGCATTTATTTGAAATATATATATATATATTTTTTTTTTTTAAATGTCAAAGACTTTACTGTCACTTTAATTAATTGTTTGCATCCTTGCTGAATAAAAGTATTAATTTGGTAAAATCATGCTATTATTTACAATGTGATTATTCATTGTATCGTCCAGCCCTACTAAACTAAATATCAAGAAGAAAACCTTTGGTTTCTTTACAGTGAGTTTAGGTTTTTCTCAGTTTGTTTTAGCATTCCTTGTAGTCCAGAAACAAAAATAGCGTTGTCCTATATTTGGAAGTGATGTCATCTGAACCCTGAACGCCACTGGCTGGTGGTTTGATGGTCTCTTTTTGTGAAGTGTTCAGTGTTTTTTATGAGCTCTGTAAAACAGCAGCAGGAAGTGTTCACATCAGTTTGATTTCTGTCACATGACCTCATAGTTGCTGACACACGACCCTGATGTGGTCTCATCCGTCAACAAATGAAACACATTATGCCATTATGTGCTCTCATGTGTGTGACACTTAGAGTAACAATCATCTTTGTTTTAGGGCAGAAGGAGATGCTTATATGCTCATAGGTCGCGGTTGGACATTCTCAAACGCACACATCCCAGCACACTGTTTTACAGTCCACCCTTTACACACTCAGCACTTTACAGTATAATTAGAAACATCCTTTCCTACCTCAGCCATCCGTGCATAACCCCAGTGTGTGTGGGGGGGGCTGTTCCCGTTCCCGGAAGGTGTGAGGGGGCAGGGATTTGTGGGATAGACTGTGTGAGATGAGAGGAGAGAAATATCCATTTACTACAGTCCAAGGTCGGACCTGTGCCTGTGCAAAACCTGCCCGAGGAAGGGCAGAACACGAAGTTTCTTTTCCATTGCACTGTTTAGTTTTTCTTATTCCTGCTCTCCATCAACCACACCCTCTACTCCATCCTCTTCTCTTTCTCTCTCACTCTCTCTCTCTCCCTAGCTATGTGATGATTTAGTATTGCGTCAGTGAGCCAGGTTTATAAACTGACTCCTTGTTATATTCCTGCCAGACCTAACTCTGCACGTTCAGTGTGTGTGTGTTTGACTAAAGCCTTCTGTGGCCCCTATGAGTGGTCAACACCACAGTGGGAGAGATTGAAGAAAAAAGACTGAAGCTGGACATGTGGGTGGTGAGATAGGGCCGTGGATAGGACAGCAGACGCCACAGTACGCAAGGGGAAGAATCACGTCTGGAGACTTTCTGTGCTTGTGTGTGTGTTTGTGTTGAATTGAACTCTGTGGCTTTGGGTTTCTGAATGTTTGGCAGCAAATTCACTGCAAATCTTCCCTATTCATGTACTATAATGAACCCAGGGGAGGAATTTTTGACTTTTTGTTGATGTATAGCTTTCTAAGTGCTAATTTAGTTCTTTCAAGCAGTAGTGACTATTGCTTAGAGACAAGTGAAGGTTATGCTGCTTACTGCACATGCATGCACAATTTTGTCTGTGTCCTTTCAATAGTTTTTTTTTTTTCAAACACCGGATGCAGTAAATACAAACCTGACCAGCTGAGCGTTTGCAATCACGTGAACTTGAAGACACTTGTACAAATGTGGATGGGTGACATGAATGGAAATGATTCCAGATTGGCGATGTAGTATTTGGTTTCTGTATTCTGTACTGTATTTTCCTGCGCTCAAACCTGCCAATCTAAAGGATCAAATGCTGTGTATGGCGTTTGAGGTAATTTGTGAATTAGCATAGACTTATAGTCTAAATAAAACAATTTGCAACTGTTACTATTATCACACTTGTATACAACACTTTGTATTATGCTTGTTATAGAGTGTGTGACATCACGTGCACTACCACCGGTGGCAATAGACAACGGTTGACGCGGTTGTCACGGTGACCGTCACAGACCTACTGTGCAATGATGTAGTTTCCTGACATCCAGACTGAACAGCGTT